CTGATGGTGTGCGTACAGCGCTCTTGCAATCCTTGTCGCTGCTAGGGAATCGCCACCGAGCATGCCGAATGAGACTGATGTTGTCAGCATGGCTTGTTGGCAAGGTTGAAGGTTTAAAGAGGAAGTGATTTGTTCGGCAACAAAGCTCCCCACTGTCCCGTAATCCCGCAAAATTATTTCTGTCGCTTTGTTTTCCATGTGTACACATTCACTCAAGTTTGGAAGCCTGCAACATTCCTCTTTCCCGTGGGCGACAAAGGAATCATTGGAACGAAAACAAACGCCGACGGCGTACAACCTGCTCGTACCTTGTTTTGGCACCGGGTTCGCAGCAGTGTGAGCATGGCGCTGGAATTGCAGAGAACGCCTGGTCCCCTAGCAAGCATCTCACGAATTCCAAGCTCGCTGGCACAGGTTTGGCTGACGACACAATAGGCATGGAGTTCCGGAGTGCTTGTTCTTCGTCCATTGTTGTTGTTCCGGCAACCACAGCTGCATTCACAATCACTGGAAGATCCAGTCCATCGTGTTTCTCTAATCCTTCTGTTATCGACAAGCGGTCGTCCACGAGCGCCGCTTCAATCTCCCCAAGTTCCACTCTCACCCCGTTGATTTTCATCATCCCTTCCTCTCCCCCAATTCTCCCCAACATTATCAGGTCGCCACTGTTGTGTTCAATATACCCCCTGTCTCCCGTTCGATAATAGCAAACGGTAGACGAATCTGCAAGTCGTACAAACTTGAGTTGACTTTGTTCTGGTCGATTCCAATAGCTGCTCCACTCATCGAGCTGGGACCCGTACAGCACTACTTCACCAATATTGTCGCTGGGCAAAACATCCACTAGTGTTTCTTGATCCTCCTCTTTGCAGATGCGCACGTGTATGCCTCCAAAGGGCTGACCCACATTCTGGCCCCTTTGTGCTGTCGTTGTTGTTGATGTGGTGATTTCGCCCATGGTCTGGTACACACAAGCTTCGGTCACGCCATAGGTTGCAAACAAACGACAGGAAGCAGGGTTGGATGATGATTCCTCCTCATTATTATTCGGTGTGGTTCTCCTCGCCCATGTCTGCACAATCTGTTTGGGAATGGGTTCTCCTCCGAGTGCCACCAATTGCAAAGAAGAATGAGGAGCAAAGTCGTCCTTGGGTGCTGTCACCTTTCTATTATTAGAATCGTGACTGCTACTGCTCATCATGGTACTCCACAAGGTGGGTGTACAAAGCACATGCGTAATGCCAAGGGTTGCCAGTACGGTGGCCAAGTTTTGTGACAAGTCGGCACGAGTGGCCATTCCCAGTGTGGCACGGGCCTGAAAGGTGGCCAAAATGTCGGATAAGCACGGATCAAAGGAGACGGCACTCGCCAACAGGACGGTAGATTGTCGTGTAATGCCATGGAGACGATTCTTTTCGTTGATGTACCAGTGGAGCGAGTTGATGGAAGAGAGAGAACCTTTGGGCTGACCCGTGGAGCCCGATGTGTATGCCACGTGGGACAATCGATTCGTGGTCGTCGTCGTTGTTGTTGATTGAGGAAGAATGATGGATGATTCTTGTTGACGTATGCGACGGCTGAACTGAGCAACGACTGTCTGCAGGGTTTCAACTCCCGACCATTGAGATTGCAGTTGGTCCATTAGAGATTGTCGTGTGCTGTTGTTTTCTTCCAGCAGTGAGCGACTGGCCGTTGCTGCTTCCCTCGCCAGGCTGGCAAAATCGAAAATGGTGGAAGTTTTCGCTTGGAACATTTCTGTATTGAGGGCACCCTTACTTGCGCCTGATTGGTTTCCTGCTGTTTCATCGTTTTGTCGAAGGGATTCCACAATGTCTTGCAGACGTTGACGGTCTGGTTCCAAGCACAAAATCACGGCGGGTTGGGTTTCCGCCAACATGTGCCGTATTCGATCTTTTCCTTCTCCGGGTTCAATGGGAATCAGAAATGCATAAGCCGCATCCTTACTACAACTGTTTTTGCAAATCGAAAAAGGAACATTGAGGGCATGGACGGCGAGAATGGCCAGCGGTAGAAAGGGGCCTTCCGGAATTGCGACGGCCAGAGGGATCGCGGTCAGCGATGGATCATCTTTCTGGGACACAGATGGCGACGATGAAACAATTTCTTCAATTTTTCGTTGTAACAGGTAGACGATATGGCTCGTCAACAATAGGACTGTTCCGTAGGATAGAGAACGCAACTCCAATTGATTTTGGCTGGTTGCATCGGCAGTGGATGGACCTTGCAAGGGAAAATCCAGCAGAAAATCGACCATCCAGTAGTCACAGTTGGATCTTCCTGATTGCTCTACCAGCCCTTTGCTCCACACAATGGCTGGTCTGGACAAGCCATGGCCGTCATCTTCGGAGGTCATGGCACCTCCAATCTTTTTCATCTCTGAAATGGAAAATGGATGCGTGAGACAACGACAACTGATCATTTGAAACCATCAAGGCTGCTAAAGTTAAGAGAGTGTTGGAGTTCGAAGGAAGATAGAGGAGGTGATGTTGACAGTCTTCTCGAAGAGCCAAAGTACATGTACCGTACATCTCAGTGCCCATCATGCCAAGGTGGTGGTTTCAAAGCAGTTAGATACTTGAAAAAGCATCGAGGCGGTTCTGCTTCCTTAGTACCGGTACAGAGCATCTTTTGTCAGAGTTGCGTTTTTGCGCATTCCACTGGCAGAATCAATGAATCACAGAAGAAGAAAAGATGCCCTCTGAGGGAGGCTATTTGCTTTGGCTGATACAGTAGTGGTACTCGCCTAGCTAGTAGGATCAAAAAAGCATTCCTTGGGAAGATCAGAACACGGTAGATAGAAATTCAATGAAACGCGACGCATTGCTTTGGTCCAATCCATCAACCAATCTATAAACTTTGTGAATACAGTTGCAGAAATATAGTACGGCCAGGCTGATTGATTGCCTCGCACAATGTCACACAGTTGCATGATACTTGGAGTTCTTTTATGCTCGTCACCCAGCGACAATTCCGTGCCATCGACATTGAGCCCTAGTAGCTTTGGACATTCATGACTGGGTACAGATTCCTCTTGCTTATCATTGTCGTTGTCACCATTCCATTTCCTCTTTTCAGCTCCCAGTTTCCATTCGGCAGTATCTTCTGGCCCTTCCGTCCATCATTCTTCTCTTCAATTCTGTGCACAATCTTGCCTTTCTACTACCTCATTCTCCTCATTCCTGGATACATTTGATTGCATTTCTTGCAGATTCCCCCCGTCGCCATTTTCATGGCACATTTTCGACAGTAAATGGCGCAATCACAAGTTTGTGGTTGGTATTCAATTTGTTGTTTCTTGCACGCCCAACACAGGTTCGCTGGATCCACCGGTTCTGCTTCTTCTTCTGCTTCTTCCGTTTTCGTTTCGGTTGCCGTTTCTGCCATGTCGCTCTCGTAGTGTACTGAGGTTTCTGTCATGTTGATCTTTCTTTGTAGTGAACGTACTTGTTAAATTCCCTCTTCTTCCTTCTCCCTTCTCTCAAGGTTGCTTTGTCTCTTTTTGTGTTTTTGATCAACTCCTCTTTTGAGTTGCTTGCTGCTTGCTGCTTGCTTTTGGTTTCTGATGGCGACCTTCGCTTCGGTTTACGTTTCGAGAAAGATACGATCCGTGACTGAATCAGTCGGAGAGAATGACGCCACTTCTCTCGCATGTGATTGACAACGGCATCATCTCAGTTTTGTTGACCTCATCATCAAACCGCTGAACTTGCTTTGAAGCCTCTTCGTCTGTACTATATCATCAGTTTCAGAGGAGAGGCTGCAAGAGGACCATGGTGGCCACTCGCTTGTCGGAGGTGTTCTCCAAGGGCTACGAGTGGGCGTATGCTGGTGGAAGCTCACTTCCTGCCGAGTCGTCTCCCCTTCGATCCAACACTGCGACGGCTACTGTGGTGGACACTGCGCCAACTGTCTCGTCGCCGTCTGCTTTGTGGGATGCCGCCAGTAGTTCCTTATCGAGTGCCAGCACGTCCTTGTCCAGTGCGGCAGATCAGGCGTACAACACTCTGGCAGGAGTAGCCAATTACGCCTGGGAATCCGACGATCATCCAGGAGGTGGTGGACAACCACCGTATCCTCCCACCACTGGATCCAATTTTGCCACCACGGGCATCATTTCCGAACGAGACCACAACAACAACAATAACAATAATAGTCTGGATCCATCCTCCTGGATTCATTCCATGGTGGTGGATCGCAATGACAGCTTGTCACCTTGGAGATTGCACAATCCTTACAATCGTGTCCGAGGTCGCTACGCGCAAAATCGATCTTCCTTGAACGCAGTGCGTTCCTTGTTGCCCTTGGCAGCCAACAACAACAATAATAATTTTGTGGAGGATACTTCCGATTACCCTTCGTTGGCGGACGCTTCCGAAGACGGAGCAGAGTTGCTGACGGGAGAATCGGAAGACTCCAAACTGAAACGAATCGAACAACAGGAACAACAACGATCCAGTTGTCCGTATACACCCGATCCCAATAATAATAATTACTTTGAGACACAACAGCAACAGCAACAATCGCACATTCACCAAAATTCCGAAACCGCGTCCCAACTGGCCGAAGGAACGGTACGGGCATTGCGAGACATTGCCTTGGATGAAGCCGTCGAATTCCATGCGGCATTGCGATTCTGGTCGTTTCGATGGGAACATCCATTGCTTAGTTGGTTAGAAGCTGGTCCTACTGGTAAGTCGAGTGGCAGTCTAGTCTAGTCAATTGCATGCTTGTTTGTGACATACATGGATGCTTGTCGTGTGAATGATGATTTCTCAAGCCGTTTGCGAGTTGGCTCACGTATTCCTTTTCGTTTTGAACATACATTTATTTCTTCTTGGCATTATAGTCTGGCTCAGTCGTGATGGATACGATCATCAGTTGATTGGTCAAAAGGTGGCCAAGATTCAAGCTGTCTTGGCACGAAGGTGTACTGCCATTGGAGAATTGCAACAACACTTGTTGCGGGCGGGATGGCAACGAGGTGTCGCTCAATGGGGTGTCCTCGGGCATGGTGGTCAATGGGCCACCGTTCAAGGCACGTATGTCTTTACAGAAGAAACAGCGGCGGTGGCGGCAGAATCGCAACGGCAATTATTGATGAAAGAACAACAGCAACAGCAGGAACAAGGACAAGGACAAGGACAACAACAATTGGCCGAATCCATAGAAAGCGTGCTGCCAGCGCAACCCTTGGAACGGATTGGCCTAAGCAATCAACAGCAGCAACGCCATCGGGGCAGCCGTCACACCCACAGCAACGCTAACCGAACCAGCAGTAAACGATCCGACCGCAAAAAGTGGAAGCGAGAAAAGGGCTACTATGCATCTGTCTTTGTTCGCAATGAATATGATGGCAAGATTCTGATGGATGATGCCACATTGGCAGAATGGTCGGTGGATGCCATGGAATTGATTCGGAACTTGTTGTTGCGAGCGTCCAACGGAAAGGCCCAATTGCCGTACGAGCATCACTGGAAGAATTCACCGCCGCCACCGGAGCGACAATCCTCAGTGTTGACCACCGAATCGGAAACCGGACAACTGATTGTGGAAGAAGAAGTACAACCGCAAGAAGAGCTTCCTTTAAACGACAATAAGCATGGTGTGGAAGAGGTTGGTGCCAATCGACAATTGCCCGTATGGGCCCAGTGGGCGTCCAAAGATGGAAACAATGTGGAAGCCGAACCCAACAAGGAGCCTACTCTGGACGATGACACTGTAGTCATCTCCAACCTACCACTCATGGCAGCCGAGGTGTCGGAGCTACTGAACTCGATTGAAGATATCATGCCCTTGCAACGGTCACGGAGGATGCGAAAGCTCCGTCCTCCCTCAATGTTTCGCAGGCGTTGGTACCTCACTGTTGTCGCGGCTCCTACTCTGAGTTACCTGACATACCATCTGATATCCAGGGGCTACGGAGCAGAGCTCATAAAAGCGACGTTGTCCAAAATCTACCTCTTCTTTGAAGAGCGAGTCTATGTTCCGTTTGTTGCCATTATTGAAGAGGTGTGGAAAGGACGTGAGGACATTAGTGATAAGAAAGCGAGACTGGAGGTCATTGCCGGCCTGAAAGAGATGATCCGCAGTTGGTTGGATGACAATCACCCTGAAATCCCTGTGGAGAAACGACTTGAAATGGCAGAGCTCATGGACATTTCCTTGATAGAACGGAAGAAGGCCGAAAGTATGAAAACGATCTACGAGATCAATCAAGCCGTTCGGTTGAGTTTCATTGAAATGCAGTTCATCAAGAAGGTAAGGAGATCTACACTTACTTGCATGTACGCCATCTGAGCTTGAGAAGCGCTCACATGTAAATGGGTTTCAATCTTTGTCCAATCCCCAAGGAAATGGTGAACGCTCTGTACACAATGGATGATATGATGACAAAGAACGAGATCAACACGAACCTTGCTGCCGTCACACCTGCAGTGCTGCTTCTGTATACCGCGCGGCAAGTGTTTCGTTTCTTTTACTACGCTTTGCTGAGGCTGGGCAAGAGCAAGGAAGAGACATACTCTTCGTTTCGCCACATCTTGACGGATATTGAACGCTTGCTCGTAATGAGAGACAATCCGCCCACATCACCCTTTCCACACAATCAACTTCGTCACTCGGCGGGAGACACCGAGGAGGCCTCGCAGTCTCAGCTGATGCTGTCTGAGACGGCCCACAAGCCAGGATGTGATGTACTGAGTGCGGATGATTTGGGCATGCTCATGTTGCACATTCACGAATGCCGCACAATCCTGTGGACGGATTACAACCGTTTCACCCCAGCAGCCATCCAGAGCGTCTCGGAAGATCTAGCAGAACTGGCGGGAGAACGAGGTAAGCTTGCGGAGGGGAATGAGGAGTTGCTGCTACCGGTATCCTTTCGAATGCTCACAAACATCACCCGGCTGCGTAATAATTGGGTTTGGTTACAGGTGCCGTGAGTGTGCAGCAGCAGCTTCAGATCATTGCTCGTATGTGCCGGACATATCCATTCCTGAAGGTCATCAGCATCGGAACAACGTTTCACCAGAGCTTCATTGGAGGCTCTCACTAGCTAGCTTAAAAATTATGTTGTAGTTGAAACTAAGTAGAGAGCCCGTTGCATTTTAGTTCAATGGTATCAGAATGGGTATTGCCACTTGAGATCACTGAGCTGAAAGCCGGCTTCATGACAGCCAGATATGGGTCAAGATCAGCGACGATGAACTCAACAAACATATAATAATTCGTCTTTCTGTAATGTCCTGATCTACTACCGTAGCTAGTTGCAAGCCTGAGGACATCTTGTGCGGAATTTCTTTTTATCGTTTTCTAGTACGGTATCTTTCTTGACTACTTTTTGGCACCAATTAACATCCTCATCCGCTTCTCAATCTTGGGCTCCATTATCCCAGTTGACTGCGATAGATTCGTGACACGGCGACGACCCTTGTGCCCCGTATTGTGTGATTTACCCGCCTTGTTTCGCTTCAGGCTGCCGTCTCCTCTGACACGGAAACGCTTGTAGGCACTTCGATTTGTCTTGAACGAGTGCTTCCATCGGCAGACGACGTTGGATGGTGCAATCAGCAATCTTTGGGAGTTTTGCATGCCAAGAAGAGTCGATACCCCATTCCATCGTATCATCGTCGACGCCAATGGCATCATGGTGTTTCTCCAAAGGTTCAAAGAGGACATGACTCTGCCGTTGTCTACTAGCTAGCTAGCTACGGTAGCTTCCAGATGGTTGTAGGAGGCTGTGATGAGGGTGTTCGTTGGAGAAGGGAACGTTTAAGCCGTTTGAGCTGTTCAGCAACAACGCTCAAGCACCAAAGGAAAACGCAACCGTTCGAAGACACTTGCTTGAAGTGCCGACACGACGCCATTAACTCCGAGACAATACATGTAGCCAGCAGTTGCCCTTTGTCACGGTTGTTGAACAAACATCATGATAAAGCTGTTTGATTTCGATTCCTCTCCAGGCAGTGATTGTTGGAGTCTGAATTGTGCCATATTGCCGGTGGGATATGGGTTGCTGGTGGTTGATTCCTACTTTGACTTGAATTGGGTGTTGTCGCCGTCACCAGCCACCAAGCGCGCCCTGATTCGGTATTACACGACAATATTGACACCACAATTGCGCTACGGATTCCCTGGATTTTGGTGGCCCGTCTTTGTGATTTGCAGGCTCTGCATCCAGTGTCCTACCAAGTACAATTATTGGCTTTTGGCAATCTTTGTTGCCATCTCGTACCGATACAAACGAATACTGAATGGTACTGACACGCAGCTAAACCATTGGTGGACGATTGTCATATGCAGGATCCTACTGGCAGTCATCAACACTTGGAATTTACAGACATTGCAGTGCTACGAAGGAACACCCTCTTTGGGTGCTTACGCACAACACATTCGCAATGCTGTAGCATGGTAGCTGAGATACCTTACCGCATGGAGCTAGCTACCGTATTGGTACGGTGCTGGCCCTTTTCTAATTTGCCTACAAATACCGGCATTGTTGAATGGTAATTTTGTAATTGGGTGCGACTATGGTCTCGTTCTTTGAAAACTTGAGGGAGAAGCTAAAAATTTTATGGCATGATGTGCTTCCTTGGCTCTCCTTGTAAAATCAGCCTGGTCTCTGCCAAATTTCATTTTGCACTTGTGAGCCACGTGGTGGTCATCAACAACAAAAAGGTCAAGACGAAGCCAGGGCTACTAGCTAAGAGTCTTATTTGGATGGGCTCAGCCGAGCCCCTCGACGAATTTGTAGACCCGTCTCGTGAAAACTGAAAAGACAATATTGAATGCCATCATCTCCGGGGCGTTCTGAGGGCCGATGGATGGGAGCAATATACGATCATATGATAGCAAAAAGTATCTGAACTAAGTTAGATTGATTCTGCTACGGGATACCCTGTCTGTGAAATGAAACGACATTAGATCTTGCCCTGCCTTTGGGTACTATCGGTAGATGGTACGCAGTCTTTGGTGAGGTCTCGCAGGCGCAATAGCATCTTGGAAGAACTCTTCGCGAAGAAATGATAGTATTTCGGTGGTGACAGAAGCCTTGCGCTTCTTCTTGGCGCTGGCTCGGTCTGGCTCACAACAAGACGGAGGCGCTTGCAAAGATGCAGCTATTGGTTCTTGTTCCTGTGGGAAAGCAATCTTCAAGAACTCATCGAAACTCATAGTGCTGGTGGATTCCAATAACGATGGCATCGAAGACTGAGAGAGCGTTCTATTGTACGGTGCGAATTGTGGCATGTCATGGTCAAATGAGGATGACGAAGAAAGGTCCATGTGTCGGGCTTCCGCGGAAGTAACGCTGTCATCGACGACAAGATCTGCTTTTGAAGTCTGAAAGCAAGCTTGCCAGCTGGCCCAAGTTGTGCTCATTGTTTGGCTCATGGTATCAGGTAGTCTTCTCGTTTTTTGAAATTGTTTTTTGTTGTAGTTTTGGATTATGTTTGTTTTTGGTGTGGCGAAGAATATCATCTCCTGATCTGTCGGTCCTCGGACCTCTGAGGATCTGATTCACTCGGAAACATTTGTTCATGCTCTCTCTGTTTTCTTACCTTTCCATGTCCTAGCTAGAGCTATATACTGGTGATATACTCTGCGTTGATCGCGGCGACTGCGCTGCACAAGAAAGGATGGTTGGTGGTGTTCTTGCCAAGTGTGCACTGCAGTGTTCCCAGCATGCCTTCTTGGGAGTGCTTTGTCGGCTGCATGAGAGTTTTTACAGCGTGCATCGTAGCGGTACGATTGTACGTTGTCCTCAAAGCGGGCCAGGCACGTTTCTTGGATCCAGCTTGGTGGGAGAGTTGCGGGGAATGGGCTTTTGTTGCAGTTCCAAAGCTTCCACTTTGATCATCAAAGCAATTTCACAAAGCTTCCAGATCGGTAAGGTAGGTACTGTATTTACCTATGTGAAGTTTCGTGATTTTTCGTTTATCACTTGACTATGCTTCCATTTTGAGTCATTCTTCCACTTCCAGAAGAAAGAATCGAAAATTGGGAAAATTGTACATGTATTCCCGCAACTTGGTTGAGTGGTGGTTCGGCACTTCCTGCACAGTGCACAGGACACCCAGAAACCACCTCGGATGGCTGGTATGAAGCCAAGATGGCACCACGAAGCACATTCCAGTGGCTAGCTGCGTGGAAAAACGCTTGAGCTGTTGTTCAAGTTGGATGGTGAAGCTGCCCTTTGTTTCGGTCAGGCCAATTTCTCTACCTGATGACTGTTTCCAATGGAAATGGTTGTTTTAGGAGCCTTGGGAAGTTTTAACCAGAGCAGTCGTTAACAACTGTTGAACTCCAGAGTTTTCTATTGCGGCTCGATGGTTCACTGTGGCTCTTGGAGGAGGTACTTTCCCGACCCAGGCTAGCAAAACAATACAGTCTGTAAGTTTGTAATGACTCAACTTGGTTTACTTCATTTTATGTTATGTATATCTAGTATCTCTTTGGAGATTCTAGCTACAGTGGTTGTTTTGCTTGCCCGCCCACGAAGCGCATGAGGAGTCATGTGTACTACTTCTTTGCTGGTCCACTCTTTTAGAGACCGCTAATTTTTAACTATGTCCAGGCTGAATACCGTACCCAATCAAGCAAAGCTGCAATGAAGCAATATCGGGCAAGCCCAGTTCGGCTTTGGCTGATAGATCGCTGAATCAAGGAGATGTAGAACGGAGAAAGGAGAGCTCTCCGTGCGCCGTCTTGGTACCACACCACGCTGAGGGGCCAATTGTGTGAGGCTTTTGTTTCTTCGGTGCTTTGAACCCTGACTTGGGGGGACAACAACTGTTTTAGGGGTTGGCATTGATGTGGTAACCGATTGAAGTGGAATCAAGGGAGAAGGGAATGCGATTAGCCACTCATTCAGTTAGGGAGGATTCATGAATGGGGATTCACCGAAAAAGTCCTGACGAAGGCACACAACTTCAAAGGAGAAAGGATTGTTTGAGGTGGTTGCATCATCTCTATCATCGTAGACCTCGCCGATGCTGTCATCATAGATATCTGCAAATACATCATCCATCAGGAAGTTGTCCTCTTCTGACAAATCATAACTCATAGAAGAAACCAGGGAGGCGGAGCCTTCCGACTGCTGTCTCCATTGTGTTGGTTCCGGAATTCCAACAACAGAGGAGGTCATCTCATGGATGCTTGGGCTCAAGTCCATGTGCATCTCTTCAAGGGGGTCTACCGTTTCTGACAAGAGATCATTCTGAGAGCTGATCTGCCTGGATTTCCACGATAGTGGTGTGGAGTAGAACTGAGGGATGGACATTGTGTCTTGTGCTAGACAGAGGTACAGAGTATAATTAGTGTGCTTTTATTTGTTTTTTGGGGGGTTGCTAAATTGTGAGACCTTTCCAAGCAATTCTTCTTTCTCGTACCTGGTGCCTTTTGCACACCTGCACTATTGGCAGGGCTCAAAGCAGCTCTGACACCCGCTCACTTACTGTACTAGTACTAGCACAACATCCTTCTTTCTCACGACTGCTACCGTACGCGGGTAACCAACTGCCCTAAGCAGCCTCCCGTGCAGCCAGTAATAGCTAGCTTGCGTGTGTTGAATTAACCGAGCTCCCTCGCATCTTGGCATACTAGTACGACTGTAGACCACCGTACCGTACCAGTCTACCAGTGTACCAGTGTACCAGTTCCCCAACTGGTCACACTTGGGACTTGGAGACATAGAAGGTCTAGCTAGCTAGTTGTCCTCGCACTATTTATACACTCTGTGAACTGAATATGTACACACCTACCTCTTTGATAAGATAGCTCTCTTGTGCACAGAGTGCTGGAAGTATCTTCATTTTATTAGAGGTTCATCAACAGCCACACTCATTATCTTACAAGCAGCCCAATCTCAGTATCTTCCATGCCTTATAGCAAATAGCAGCTATTGTCACATACCATATTACTAACCATGCCTTCAGGCAGCGAGGAGCCACCACCAAATTCCAGAAGGCAAGGTGCAAAGCCAAAACTGATGAAACAAAATATGTTGTGCTGGTAGAGGAGGCACCCACAGATGGGGATCTGGAGGACTTGGATGTTGATGGTGATGTGGAAGATAGTAGATACTAGCTGCCCTCACTCCCCACCATAGTAGTAGTATTAGCTAAGGATTTCAGACATGGGTACTCGTCGATCATCTTGCTGGTTAGGGAAATCTGAGTGTCTAGGAGACTAGTATCTTATTTAATACCTATCTTTTAAAGTGTGAGTGAGGAGATGAGGTACACTAATGGATCTTGACAAAGTCAATCGTTTTTCCGAGCGTAAGAACGATGAATATTGGTACCGGTCCGTGTACCATTACGCGAATGAGCCAAGTTGCACGATGCAATGAGATCTTTTACCTTTTATCGTCAGTGGTAACAAGTCAGCACCGGTACCGGTATCAAACACAGGCGTATGGGGTACTAGCTAGTATGAGGTGCAATAGATGTGTAGACTCTACTGTTGCCGGCACTCGATCAAGGCAGCCATGTGGGATCTGGAGTTCACTGAACTTGACACGACTTTTTGTCCTCAAAACGTCAAGTAAGAAGTACTAACGGTGCTCTCTGAGGTTGGAACCCAGCCAGACTCTACATGTACTTCCGATGGCCAGTGGCCCTGAGAGCTGAGAGCTGCCCTGAGTGGCCAGTGGCAAGCTTAGAAGAAAGATTGACCCAGTCTTACAAACTGTGGCGCCTGGCTTGAAGGTGTGTGGTGATGGCTCGTGGGCTCAACCGCTGCCAAGGAATCAACACAAACACTTTGTTGTCGAGCGAAAGAAAACCTGACTGGCTAGCTAGCTAGATAAGTGACATTCCTCCTGCGGACTGCAGACGGAGCTCCTTGACTGCGTAGGATTTGCCTCGGCGGTATTCCTCTCGCAGGAGCGCCAATCTTGCTTGCAGTACTTTGGGGCAGGCCGTACGGCTAGCATACTTGGGTATCAGTGATTAGTGTTGTCTAGAAATAGAAAGCACAAGAAGGCAACAAGGCCTGGTAAAACGCTAAGGTGTTGCAATGACAAGGAGCGACGAAAGCCTTAGAGCAAAACATTGTAATGCTCGCTCCAGTCAGGGTGCACCGAAAAAACAAAATCGCGATGGCTAGATGTGGTTGATTTGAGACCGCGCCAGTGGTGTTGATCGCGTCTTTGTACGTACCATGTTCAAGCAAGCTTCTTATCCATGAAGGACAACAAGACAGGGAACCATGTATCTAGCTTGGACACCTTCAAATTTGACAGGCGGTGCCTTGCCAAAGTTTGGGGACCAGAACAGACTACAATCATCGAGGATCACTGCCTGTTCTCTGCAATCCACCTCCTTGGTGGGTGGAATGGCACACTAACGCAACGAGAAAGCTGTATTGGATTCCTTCGATGGGGTATGACCTTGAGTAATGTGGATGTGGGGATGGCAACGTAATGACACAAGATGAGTGCTGTGCCTGAAAGAAAACCCCATTATCTATCTAGCCCCAGATCTGTCTTCCGATCGACGCCCCCCTCCCGTCATGGAGGCGACTGTTCAAAACTCTCTTGACGCTGTGGAACTGGCGGTAGACTCCGTTGCTTGGTTTGCTCGGTTCGCTGTCGTTGAATCGTTGTATCGCATGCAGGGGTCGTCGACGAAGTTGAGGCAGAAGTTCCACCAATTGGGACGTGTTGATTACACGTCGCGTGTTGGTGAGGATGATGACAATGCTCTAAACTTTCCCATCTTTCTTCCCGAAAGCTAGTGTCAATTCCTTCGTCTTGCTCTTCGCATGTGCAACAGAAGTGATCTTCTAGGTCCAGACGGGAAAAGCTATGGGAAAAGGAATGTGGAACAATGGAGGCATTGTCGTCCTCGATGCAGATGTCACTTATTGACGTCTCCCACCGCTCTGAAACTTCTCTTTGAAGTTCTTGGAGATATCGGTTCATTGGCAGAAGTCTGGATGTGCTTGAAGAAGAGGACGTCAATTGGTTCGGATGGCAATGAATGTGGCAGGTTTGACGGCCCTTGTCGGCTTTTGGCGGCATTGTTGGCAGATTTGGATTGCTTGGTATGTAGAGAAAATACTGTAGCTTTCATTCGATCTATGGGTCAACAGATAGACAAAATGATGAGGAATTGGCTTTGACTGCTTTGCAAATCTTAATGATTGTTGTACAAAGGCTTGAGAGTCGGACGGTGAGTGAAAAGGGAGATCGTTCTGATCGTGATTCGAGTTTTGGCAGTTCGCTTCCAAAATGCCTGGCCACCAACACATCACCTCGCTCCTCGAAGAGTGCGATGAGGTCTCTAGTTTGCCAGTGCATCTCTTCTTTTTCTGTTCTCGGGGTCTTTTGTCCCCCTTGCTAGCTAGCTTGACTTCCAGAAGCGGCTGCATGTGTAGCTAGCAAGCCAGACCTTGCTTCTTCCTAGGTTGCGTGGTAGCAACCCAGGTGGATTGGAGGCGAACAAGAATGGCAGCAACAGTTCGTAACACGTAACACGCAATAAGCCATCGGGACCCAGTCATCAGAATGAGATCTGTTTGTGTTGCTGAAAAGGAGAAGTGAATGCCCACTCTTCGCATGACGAAAAATGCTTGCATACGCGAAGAAGGAACATCCGAATAGTTCAATGGGTGTTTCCAGTTCATGTCAAGACTGCCGTGCCGCTAGCCTACGAGTACGATGTAGCACAGGAACTATGTACACGGATGATTGAATCTTCGATCAATCCAATTGACTGGAGGGGGGTTGGTTTTCTAACTGTTCAGTATCTACACTATTAAGTCTAGCTGGAAGCATGAGAACCGTTGCCAGATGCCAGAGGAGAAGGCACACGAGCGAATACTGGCACATACTTATCCATGTGGTCGCTTTGCAACACTAAACCGTCTTGCTGCTCGCTTCTCAGAAGAAAGGTCCAATGCAAGCAACAGTATAGAGTGGTCTCTGAACTCTGAAGGGGGGCTTTCTCGACTCTGACTCGCCTTGAGTCATGCTACTGTACCAGTCTGGAAAACTAGCCAGAGCCACGAAGGAAACAATGGATTCAGAAGTCTGAAGTACATCAAACTGTTCTGGCACAGTCTGAACGTCCACACCGGAAACCACGTGACCGTGACATTGCCTCTATCCCCTTGGGGTAGCCAGTTGTAGAGGTGAAAGCACGGTTCTCGTGGACTCCATGACGCGGCTTCGCAGGAGAATCACCACCCAAAGATATCCAAGTCTGCCAGGTCGTGTGCTGTCAACTCTGCACCTCAAATATCGGTACCGGTACTGCAGTACCGCCAACATTGATCAGCATTGATCAGGGGATTGAGAGGTTTCAGTACGGTACAGAAAGAGCGTCCATGGCCAGCTGTAGCTGCCGTCTTGGCTCTTCGGTTCCTTCCGAGCGCACTGCTGATATGCTGAGGTCCTTTGCAAGCTACCCCGGTACCGGTACATGTCCTGTTACAAGGAGTCGCTGCCAAACTACTAGTAGTATCTCAAAAGCTTTGTAGCCCCTGTTGTACGTATCGCGGCTCGTTGCTATTGTGGACGTTTCTCAGACGTCCTCATGGCGAGTGCATTCCCAAGGTAAGTCTTCTCCTGTGCAGCCCTTGATCGGTTGGGCGCCTTTTGACCTCGTTTCAATTGCTAACGAAGTCGTTGGAGTAGACGAAGAAGATGATGCTCTCGGAACACCGTCGCGTCCCAACTTTCCTTCTTCGATTGCATCTAATGCTTCTCCCGAGCAAAGGCTGCTGTCTTTGTTTGTTCTTGTTCTTGTTCTTGTTCTTGCCTGGTCCATGTCTGGCGGTGTGCTGGTAGATGAAAAGGCTGAGGATGGGCCGCCTGTTGTACATGATGTTCGTAGGTCACGGCTGCCTCTTACTTTTCCTTCGCACGGGGAGATTTCATCCTTCAAGGGCGCCATCATGGTGCTCATAAAAAAGGCGGTAGACATGCCGGGGCGAATCCTTGACCCTGCCCTGCGCTCTTCATCGCCAGGGCCATTGTGCCCACAAAGGCACCAACTCCAAACTGTTTGTGTGTAAAACCTTTTGTAAACCTTCCATATGTCAGGTTTCATTAGACTCATGACGCTGGATACAAGGGCTTGTAAATGCCCCCAAATGGCACCTATCCAGTAGACCCAGGTGCTCACAAAAGGACCAGTGATGCAAAAAAAGAGCAAACACGGGCCCCACATGACAAGGAAAGCAACAGTGAGGCGAAAGAAATAGACTGCCAGAGCTCGTCGCCTTCCCGAGGGTGGCAGCAGGTTTTGCCTTACTATGGTGACTGAAGCATACACCACATAGACCAATGGTATCCCGAAGAGGAGCGGAAAGAACACCAAAAAGTAATAGGCCAAAGATGAAGGGTCGTGCGGCTGGGGAAAGCAAACTGCGCCATAGGCAAGCCTCGTCCAGTGCGGCCACTTGGATTCCCAAGACAATCCAACTGACTGCATGATACCCGTGAATGCGCTGAACCCGCAAAGCACGTAAACCCCCATAGCCTCCATTGTGACTTGCCGTCGTGTGGGTGGCTGGTATTTTCCAAAGTGCTGGCTTGATCTCAGTGGCCTTGCTATCTACAATCTTTCTATCTCGTGTTTTCAATCTCCTCCAATGCCTGGTTGAATGCC